GTGACTCTGCTCCAGCAGCACTGGGGAGTCATACTCTTCCAGCTGCCTCACAGGCTTCTGTGTGTCCATGAGCAGTGAGGTGCTTAAGTAGATGTCACACACTCACAGCTTCTGGGGACCAGAGAGTGTCCCTTCAGATCCTGCTTTGCTGAAGCTTCCCTTCTTGGGCCCCAGACAAAGCTGTTTGCTAAAAATTATGCTCGAGCTTGTCTGCTAGTCAGGGATCTCCATGAGACAGTGAGCACGGATTAGACCAGCAGTAACAGCTCAGGAATGTGTAGCTGGGCCTGAGAGTAGAGTGATTTTCAGGTATGATCCCTGACTGGGTGGGAGGTGGGGCTATCATAGTTACTCAAGAGCTTTAAGAAGACTCTGTAGAGAAGGTTGCATTTTAGGCTTTGGTAAATGACAGAAGGGAATTACCTTGGCAAATTTGGAGTCATCAAAAGGGATCTCTGAAGTAAAAAACAGAAACTGACTTGAGGAGGAGTTCCTCAGGAGAGCAGGGCAGACTTTCTGTAGGCTGGCAGCTGCGATGTAGTCACTGGACGCCTGGGAGCCAGGAATGGCCAGAGCAAGGGAAGCACCACTGTGGAGGGTGGTCCAGCTGTGGCTACTGTCGCCAGCATCGTCTCATTGCAGCAAGGCATGGAGGAAGACAAACAATCAGGTCTGGGGCTACTTGTCAGGCTCCATTGATTAGTTAGTCACGCCATCTGTTCTTTCATTCAGCACAGTTATAGAACACCAACTCTGTGCCAGACCCTGCACTTGGTGCGAGAGAGACTGATAATTATAGGTTAGGATTGTGTGAGCAGGACAAACTGGCCCTGGTTAACGTAAAAACCCATCTCCTTGCTCACTGAGTATGAAGGGGTGAGATGCTGATATAAGCCAGGCCAGGGTTCTTCCCTCAGAGTTTTGCCATTAGTATAGAGGCTACTTCTTGACCCCCATACAGTGGTAGGTGATGTGTGTCTGAAAGTTACTGTGGCCATGTTTCCCAACTTGGAAGGAAAGTTAGTCAGGGAGAGTAAGAGGCCATACACATTCCTGTCAGTTTTTTTTTTTTTTTATAGAGGCATGTTTTTATTTATTTATTTATTTATTTTATTTGTTTGTTTGTTTTGTTTATACATGCACTGGGTACAGTCACAAGCGCGGGAGGGTGAGAGAATTCACCAGAGCCAGAGTGGGGAGCAGAGCAGGCAGAAGGACTGAAGTACACTGCTGAGGGGAGCAGCGGGCGGCAGGAGAGGTCTGCGCGCCATGTGGGATCCTCCTCCGGTGGCCGGGGAGCAGCCGGGAATCGAACCGGCGCCGCAGAGGCCGCGGGCAGCTTCGCAACCCAGCGCTCAACTGCTGCGCCACTGGGGAGGCCCATTCCTGTCAGTTCTGATTGTGCCGGAAGCAGTCTGCACCCTGGGCCTTTCCTGCTTCGGTGAAGCCTTAAATTGTCTTATTTGCAGCTAAGTTAGTGCAACCAGTATAGTGAACATGCAGGAAACATTGGGTTAATATCAGACACCTTCATCTGTCTCCCTCTGTCCCCTTAAAATATTTTCTGTGTTGGAAATTGGGCATTTTTTGATATGTCTGAGGTAATAAGAGTCCTACGGTCACATTGAATCACCGATTCCAAAATTAGAGTGTCCAGCCTTATGTAATAGGCATAGCTTTCACTTCATTCAAAGCTACAGTAACTTCCCCTCCCCATATTAGGGCTTTACCAGTGAGAGCCTGACCAGGGCAGGGCGTGTGCCTGCTTTGGTTTTTCTCCAGTTGCTGGTGCCATTTCTGGACTTTCTGGAATTGATGAAAAAGGTGGGGGAGAGAATGTGAGCAGAAAAGACAAAAGATCTTGTTGGCACTCTAAACTGGCAAGTGTTTAAAGCTTGTGGGGTGCTCTTGGGAGTGTTTTGGACACATCCTCTGAAGTTCCCCTGATGTGGGTCATGTAAGCTTAGGTCACCTAAGCCTGGCCCCTCACTATCTCTTCAGCTTGTGGGACTCCCAAAGCTTACGCTGGGCCTCCCTGCCGAGGGCCTGTCTGCCTCCTGGGCACATCTCTGGAACACCTGAAACAGCCTCCTATGAATTCATTCATTCATCTTCTGCAACAGTTTCCGGAGTGCAGGCCAGTTCCAGTGCAGCTGCTTCCTGTGACCAACCTCTGTTGTGGTTAGAGAGGTCAGGAGAAGGGGCCCATGGGCCATCCACCGTGTCCCTATAGTTTAAGGGCTATGTGTTGAACTTGCTTCACCAGGCTTGCCTGAGAGACAGCTACTGCCTGTTCTTCCCCTACAGGGAGGTGGGTTCGTAACACAGCTATCCCCAAGGAAATTTTTCAAATCATCTCTCCCATAATCTCGTATTACAGTTAACTTCTATAGTTGATGTAGAGAGACCTTTATTATGTAACATGCACTTTCAGATATTTCCTTTGAAAATCTGCATCTTAGTCTAGCACCACACTTTTAGCACCTGAAATTTATCACTTAGAGGTGTGACAAAAACATTCTCTTTTAGCATCCTGGTAGACCAATTTAATTTGGATTTATGACCATTTTGACCAAATAATCCTGGTAACAGCAGTAAACACATATTTACTTAATATTTACTTTGCGCAGCCACAAAAGAGACAGACTCAATGAACTCTTGAAGCTGCTAGCCGACTCCATAGACATATTTTGGTTGATCCTCCTAATCTTTAAAGTTTTCTTAAACTTGTTGCCAATATTTACAAATTGGGGAAATTTAACTTAAAAGACTCAGATTCTTGCCTTGCAAAAAATCAAAAGACATGGCAACACAGGGCCTGCCTCACTGTTCCAGATCATTAGCTGGAGGCCGGCCCTCCACCACGGAGCATGGTCTCCAGATGGACACCATCCCCTCTGGGCGCTGACAAAGAGGGCACTCAGTCAGTTGCCATTTATCATCCTCAGACTCACACAGTTACCTTTTCTTACAGAGTAAAGTGAAATATTCCTGCTACTTGGATCTTTTAACAAAAGAATGAAAACAGCAGTTAGTCCAAAAGAGCCATGGAAGGGAGATATAATTTCTTTAAAAATGCAAAGCATTCTTACATGTTTAACATGTTGTATGTATGATTACCAAAACTTAAGATGTCATTGGAAAATAACCCACACATATAATTATGATAATTCTACTGGACATATGTGATGAAAACAAGGCAGTTCAAAAGGATCTGTTTTTAATACAACTTTTGTTTTAGTTTTTTTGTTTTGTTTTAGTTTTAATAAGTAGCGTGAGCGCCTGTGAGAGGGCATTACATTCTTTTACTTCCCTCATCAATGTTATGTTCTTGCTTGGCCTCTGACATTTGTGTTTGCAGCAAGGAGAAAACAATCTCTGACTTCTCTGGGAGGAACCCACCAAAACATGGGTTTATGTGCAAAGCAGTCTTGACTGTCTCTAAGCAGTAGCAGGAATGCCTGTGGTTACGACCACATGGGGGGGAATCGACAGGTGTTTGGCAAGCTAATGAGGTTTTCTTTTTCATGGAATGATGAAACAGGACTGTTCAAGGAGTATTAAACGGTGGAAGTAATTTTTGTAAATTTTTTACATTTGGTTTTTAAATGGAAGCCTTTTTTTTTTTTGTATTGATTTTTAAAAGTTCCTGCTATCTTAAAGAAAGTCTCTCATCCATTTATCTGAGTTAAAGCAAAACCAGAATTGTTTTGAGGAAAGACTTCCTTTTCCCCATTCTCTAGGGAGACGAATCTTCTGTTGCGTTGTGTGACCCAGTTGGCATCTTCAATTTTAAGGGGAGGAGTTAATCTCACTGCACTTCACTGCTTGTGAAGTGCACACGTCTGGCCTTAGCGAGCCTTGCAGAATGAGCTCTATGAAGTGCTTGTCAGTACATGGAACTTCCCTGTCTTGGCCATTTGTGCTTATCAAGACTGAGTTCCTCAAGATCCCTGCTGCCTGGTCTTTTCTAACCAGTTGTTTGGTCTTGGTATTCTGTTTTATCTTCAGATTAATCCAGCTGAGAGCTGCATTCATAGACCATTTTGGAATAACAACTACACACACACTCACTTCCCCTTCTCCTCCCTTCTCCAGTAGTTGAACAGACTGTAAGCAACAATTCCACGACACTTCCTATCATTTTCCTTATGCAGGAATAGCTGTGATTATCCTGCTTTATTTTGAGGATGCTGTAAAGTGTTAAATCAGTGCTTTGCACTTAGTGTTAGCTGTGAGAAATCTTGGGGATAGATCTGTATTTTTTTTTTTTTTCAAATTCTGTTTATTGTAATTTCCCACCAGCAAGTCCATGGGACCTTTGGACATCACTTTTGTTCTTCTCCTGGCTACATGTTATTATTCCCCATGCTGTTTTCCAGGTTTCTTCTTTTTAAAATTCTAGTTCTTCATACAATTTTGTAAAACTGCTTCACCTTTGTGAATATATGAAGAAGCAAGCTATGAAGAACTTAAAAAAATTTCAATGATTTATCACTTGTTGCAATTGTCTTGCCAGTTTGTTTTTAAATTTTATTTTAAATCTCCTGTCTGTCAATTCCTTGTCATTGCCACAAAAGGATCATTGCCATGGATTTGAGGCCACATCTTCACTCCATAGTTAACATGGCTGATTTAGAAAAATTATGCTTAGAGCTCAGAGGAAGCAGCGATTGCTTCCCACCCTCTCACTTCTCCAGGGATCCAGTGTGTGGGTTACTGTATTTCAGTTTCAAGTACTACATTAATACAGGAAGGCAGTTGCATAGAAGCACAGGCCTGGTTGGCCTAGAAGGCCTGGAGAATACCTGGCTTTGAACCTGATGCTTTACAAAATCGGTGTTCAGTGAGAGTATTATGACTTAATTTAGTTAAGGTTTATGTATTTGGCTCTGCTCTTTGAAGCAGCATCTGTCCCCGCTGTCTAGGTCCAGGGTATGCAATCTGCTAGTGTCGACAGTGACTTGACCTTGGTGACATTTTCTGCTTTTCTTTTTCAGAGTATGATCGTCTGGGCTTCCTCCTGAAGCTGGACTCTAAACTGTGAGTAAAGTGAGAACATGCTTGACTCTGTGATAGACATGTCTGTGAGACCTGGGTTCCAACTTTGAAGGATCAGCTCTTATTCACTGGGGCCTCTGTCCTCAATATCTCAACAATATTGTGGAGCCTGTTACAGTCTACAGGATCCTGGAGAGGATGGAATTGTGGGTACAAACATAAGGCCGTAGATTTGACTCACACATATAGCTCATTATAGAAGGAGCCATTGTGAGGCGTTTGGGGGACAGTGTGGCCCCAGGAAAGGCTTCAGTAGAAGATGGTTGAGTCACAGGAAGCAGTGGTCTCTCAAAGGTGCTTTGCAGCCTAGCATGCAAAGCCTTCTATGATCAGGCCCCTGTCTTCTCTCAATTTAATTCCTGTCACTCCCACAGGTAAATCCTCTTTGTTTCTCTAGCTTTGCTAAAATTTCCTTTCCTAGCTTATATTCTAGGAAAACTCAGGCCACCTCCTCTTCCTCTATGCTTCCTATAAATTTTCTACCTCCATCATCAATTATCTCACTATACTATAATTGACTATGTAATAATTATTAGTTTATTAAGAATACAGACTCAGATCTAGACAAAGCTTGATTCAAATCCCACATTGCCATTTACTTTCCTTGTGATTTGAAACAAACTACTTAATCACTCTGAGCCTACTTACCTCACAGGTTTATTGTAAGGATTTATTTCAGTTGATTGATTTATAGGGGCGTAGGCTCTCTATTTCTCCCAGAATCCTTTCCTGTTCTGGCCTTCTTGCTGTTCCTACCTCCTAGTCAATACTATTAAGTGCTCAGTAAACACTGAACACGTGGATGTATGATAGATGGACACATGGATGGTTGAATGGATGGATGCATGGATGACTGTATACTTCCCCATTAGATTAAGATGCTTTAAGATCCATTCCCTCTCTGTGTTCATACTCAACACAGGATCTCTCACATAACAAATGTGCAATAAGTGATCACAAAACTACCTGTGAGCCTTTTTGCTGTTAGTCATCTTTATATGCCTGTACCCCTGTCATGTACCAGACACACTTGAAGATCAGATTTGTGTCTCCTTTCTTTCCTCTCTCTCTTTTTTTTTAAAGATTTATTTATTTATACAAGAACTGGGTTACAGGTCAGATGCACGGGAGGGTGAGAGGATTCACCAGAGACAGAGCGGGGAACAGAACAGGCAGACTGACAAAATAGTCTGCTGAGGGTAGACCCACTGCTGAGGGGAGCAGCGGGTGAGACAGGAAAGGTCTGCCACGCCATGTGAGATTCTCGCTGGCCGGCTGGGATCGAACCCGTGCTGCAGAGGCTGCGGACAGCATCACTGTGCAGCGCTCAACTGCCTGCGCCACCAGGGAGGCCCCTCCTTTCTTTCCTCTCTTGCTTGATGCCTTGAATCACTTCTTTTTTTTTTTTTGTTTTTTTTTGTTTTTGTTTTTGTTTTTTTTTTTTTTTTTTTTTTTTATATAGAGGCATGCTTTTATTTATTTGTTTGCTGGTTTCTTTGTTTGTTTTTTTTTTTTGTTTATACATGCACTGGGTACAGTCAGAAGCGCGGGAGGGCGAGAGAATTCACGAGAGCCAGAGCGGGGAGCAGAGCAGGCAGAAGGACCGAAGCACACTGCTGAGGGGAGCAGCGGGCGGCAGGAGAGGTCTGCGCGCCATGTGGGACCCTCCTCCGGTGGCCGGGGAGCAGCCGGGGATCGAACCGGCGCCGCAGAGGCCGCGCGCGCAGCCTCGCAACCCAGCGCTCAACCGCTGCGCCACCGGGGAGGCCCTTGAATCACTTCTGATGGTGATGGCCACCTCCATATAAGATGTAAAACCTGGGGCTTTTTGCCTTTCTCACCAAATTGTCTGGCATCTAGCCCCTTTTCCTGGCATCTGACCTCTTGGCTTTGGTGCCTCATTCTGTGAGTTCAGGTGTTGTCATTCTCCTAGGTTTTATACACCATAGAATGATGATTATGAGAGAAGAATGATGTTCTCTTTATCAAGCTTTAGAGAGTTATCAGCCACATGTTTACATTGGTGGTATGGGACTTGATTATGCTAGTACGTCACGGACTTTACTTTTAGAAAATCCTTAATTTAGTGTTCTGAGAAGAAAACAAATCAAGGGTAAGTTCTAGGCAAGTGAAATGCCACCAGAACAGAAGAGATATAGCAATTACCAAGTTGAATCACACTGATGAACAAAAGACATGTTATACAGAATATGTTAACTACAGTTTTTAAGCTATCTTCAGCAGCATAAGGAGAAGAATTAGGACATTGCTACTCTGCTGTTCTGGTTGGGTGGGCCACAGTAGGCTTTTGTATACCATGCAGGTTCCATGAGCCATTTGAGTCAACTTGGTCTTTAGCCTGGGGAACTGGTTTGGCCTTATTTGATTTAACTCACAATTTACTGTTACTGCAAAGAGTTTTCCAGTCCAATGCTATCTTCAGAAGAAAGCACAGATATGAGGGGAAAGTTTTGACTTGCTTCCAGGGAAAAGTTTCCAAATTAAGGATTCTTTTTTATGGGGGAGTTCCTTAGCCGTATTCAGAGATCAGCTCCCCTTGAGCTGCTTGAATTGTGTTCTGTTTGAATTGTGTTCTGCTTGAATTGTGTTCTGTTTCTGGTGTATGTGACCTGAATTTGGATCCGAAGACCTGGGTTTGAATTCTACCTGTGCTTAGAATTACATGACCTTAGATAGTTCACTTTACCTCTCTGAATCCCAATTTTATGAAAAAGGTAGATAATAATACTTCTTGAGGTTTTATGAAGAATAAAAAAAGAATCTATAAAGTGTAAGTATACAAATAATAAGAATTTATTTTTGTTTTGAGTGGATTCATAGATTCTGGAAAATTTTCAGCCATTATCTCTTTACATAGTGCCTTCATATTACTTTGTCTCCCTGTTCTGCTTCGGAAACTCTGATTAAATATTAGACTCCAGCCTCTCATTTTGGCCTCCAGATCTATTAATTTCTCTTCCATATTTTCCATTTTGATCCTTTCCACATTAAACTGGAATGAAAAGACTCTCATAAGGATAAACTAGAATTAAACCTGCACCTCAAACCAGGTCTGTAGGAAAGGTTGCCAGAATTTAGGGTGGATCTGGGCAATAAGTTAATGAAGCAGAACCATTTAATTTTTACAGCTAGGGTCCTTGTCACTCAAGTGATCTATGAACTCATTTGAAGGTATTCCAGGCTAGCAGTGTCTCCAAGCTTCCAGCAGAAGCAGATGCAGATCCTCTCTGAAAGAAGACATGAATTCCTCACAAATAACATGAGCAATGCGTGGAGAATAACCAAGCATACAAAGAAAAGAGACTGCATTGGTGAGAACCATGAAAAACAACAGACAACAGAGAGGAACCCACAAAGACTTCTGAAATTTGAATTACCAGACAGTTTTTAAAGCAATCATATATACTGTATCTGAGAAAATAAAAGACAAATTGAACTATATGCATGGCATAGGGAAGTATAAAATGTAAAAGACGGGAAAGACAAAAAAAAAGATTGGAAAGACAAAGAACTTCTGGAATTAAAAATATTCAGTGACTCAAATTCAAAACTCAATCAAAGGATTTAGCAATAGACTAGATACAACTGAAGATAGAGTTAGTGAACTGAAAGATAAGTAAAAAGAAATGATCTATAAGAGCACAAGGGACTATGGTGATGGTGCATGGGTGAATTGGTGGTATAAATTCTATGGGGACTACACCTGAGAAAAGAAAGCAAACACTGTTGGGCCTCCCTGGTGGTGCAGGCAGTTGAGCACTGCACTGTGAAGCTGTCCGCAGCCTCTGCAGCGTGGGTTTGATCCTTGCCAGCCAGTGAGAATCCCACATGGCGCAGCAGACCTCTCCTGTCTTGCCTGCTACTCCCCTCAGCAGTGTATTTCATCAGTCTGCCTGTTCTGTTCCCCGCTCTGTCTCTGGTGAATCCTCTCACCCTCCTGCATATCTGGCCTGTACTCCGGTTCTTGTATAAAATAAATAAATCTTAAAAAAAAAGAAAAAGAAAAAGAAAAAAAGCAGGGCCTCCTCAGTGGCGCAGCGGTTGAGCGCTTGGTTGCAAAGCTGCCCGCAGCCTCTGCAGCACTGCTTCAATCTGAGGCTGCTCTCTGGCCAGACCCACATGGCGTGGGTCCCACATGGCGTGCAGACCTCTCCTGCTGCCCGCTGCTCCCCTCAGCAGTGTACTTAGGTCCTTCTGCCTGCTCTGCTCCCTCCTCTGGCTCTGGTGAATTCTCTCGCCCTCCCGCGCTTCTGACTGTACCCAGTGCTTGTATAAATAAATAAATAAATAAATAAATAAAATTTCAAATAAATAAATTTTTTAAAAAAGCAAACTGTTTAAAATAAAAAAAGAACAATGATGTTTTATATATATATTTAAATGATTTAAAAAAATCTATAGCAAGGGTTGGCAGATGTTTCTGTAAAGGGCTGGATGAGTAATATTACGGTATTTTGGGGGGTCTTTTTTATCTCTGTTGTTACTGCTCATCTCTGCTGTCATAGTGTAAAAGTAGTCAGACAGCACATAGATGAGTGAGTAGTCTGTATTCCAATAAAACTTTATTTATAGACACTGAAATTTTATTTTATTCCCTGCTGCTTGTATCTACATAACAAAGTCTCTTGCCAGTGCTGTGAAAATTATTCAGAATGCTTACATGAAGTGAGATATAAAAACCTTTTCTTTTAACTGCAGGTTCTTGTTCAGAAGGGCGGTATTTTGAGGGAGTCTGGGATGGATTTTAAAGTCTAGTTCCATGTCTTACTAGTTATAATTTCAAGTTATTTAAATGCTAAGCCTGTCCCCACTATAAAGTAGGGATAATTGTAATTGCCCAAGGATGAGAGTCAATCTATCCTGTACCCTTCTCAGTATGTGAAGATATAACCCCAAAATGCAGTTTGGAACTTAGCTCCCTTCCTGTTCCGAGCCCTAGATTTCATTTCTTTACTCGCCCA